CAGGATACGCCCAGAGTCACGGAACGCATTAAGTTCGTATCCCGAGGTACCACTGTATATGGTTCTCCTCTCTGTTCTATATCAGGGATATATAGTCTGCCCAGTGAAGAAATAGGGACTTGTGGAACTAATGAGCAAAAGTTAAAATATAATGGAGAACTACTAATAATATGGAAGAGACCCTAACCCTAACCCTAAATAGACAAACAACCACATGTTAACTTGCAAAATAAAGAACTCAGAAATCATTGAATCATGTGATTTTCTTTTGTGTGCTTCTGTTCTTTCATTGCTTGTTGTTTATAATATATGACTACTTCCACCATTTTTTTTTTCCTTTCCAAAAGGCAAGTATGCCATGCGGGACCTGGTTCACCGGCTTCCGGGAGGTAACAACAGTAGCAGTTCAGCAAGCAAGACCATGTCTGATGATACCGTTACTGCCATTTGCTGCACCTTGCATGAAGTCATCACAAAAAATATGGAAAATGCCAAGGCCTTACGGGATGCAGGAGGAATTGAGAAACTTGTTGGCATTTCCAAGAGTAAAGGAGACAAGTATGTTTCACCAATCATCTCCTGCCTGTTAGCTGTAATTTAATTAATACTTGTCTACACTAATGATTTCCTGGAGTCTTATCGTTTATTGCATGTTAGAAAACTTCACAGATGATGGAAGAAGGGTGGGAGATAATAAGCAAATAATCTCACATCAAAATGTGTTACACTTGTAGTCTTAATTTGGATCTGTGGCATTATATTGACCTATCAAAAGAAACATGTGGTTTAATTTTTATCTATTCTGGTCAGCAACCCAGAAGCTGCTAATTGCAGCTGCTATTCAGACTAACAGATTTTGTCAGGAAAATGTTTAGAAAGTAATCCATTCCCAAAACATTTGGGTTTTCTTTTCCTGAAGTGGGCATGCTACCAATGTTGGTTGGAAAAGAGAGGAATACATCAAAGTCAGAAACAAATATCAAGAGTAAAGAATATTTATATAGTGTTGAGAGAGTGCAGTGATAATTAAACTTATTAATGTTGATAGAGTAAAAGACAATTACAACCAGACAGGATATTCAAAGAATCAAAATAAATATACTGTTCCCAAGAACTTTGGCATTTTACCCAAAGGAAGAGCAGAAGCAGTTATTAATTTCATAGCTAAAATCTGTATTTTACTGAGTCTCATCTTCCAGAGCTTCTCTCTTCCCAAATACGTTTGTGTACTCAATTAAAATCTATGGTAAATTGAAAAGCTGCATGTGTATATAATAGTAAGTCAGGATTTATTTTAACCATAGTTTGTTGAACAAGCCAGGTTCTATTGCAGATGAATGAAGTTGCTTGTTAATTCTTGGCTTGTTTTGTCTCTTTCTTCTGCAAGTACAAATTTGGAACAGATCATAAATGCAAACCAGGAATAAACAAGAACATATTATGATGTTGGATTCTGACATAATGATAAGGCATAGTTAAATGAATATTCATAAAATGACAAAAAATCTTGTCTCTTTTCTTAAGAGTCACTATTTTCTTAAGAGTCATTATCACTATTGTCACTATCCATGAAGTGACACAAAATCTCAGGTCCATACATACATCACATTAAGTGAAGAACAATCCATATTATGATTTAGGGTTAGCGCCTATGGGTTCATTCTTTCATCTCTCTTCCAATCTTTAATAAATATTGAAATTATAAGAAAACTACGATAATCAAAAAAAGTTCAGTTCCATTTTCCAAAGCATACTTATATAGTATTGATTGAACCAATGAGTGCCTTTCAGTTCCTCATGTGTGTCAACTTTTTACCTCCTCAATAGGCATTCACCAAAAGTAGTGAAGGCAGCATCTCAGGTCTTAAATAGCATGTGGCAGTACAGAGATCTGAGAAGTCTATACAAAAAGGTAAGACTTATTTTGCAGTGTTGTCTATTATTAAGTTACCATTTCTTGGATAGGAATTTTAGAATGAAAATTAGTAATGAATCTAACATTTAAAATGTCCTGAAAACATTATACATACAGTACATAGTGCAGAAGAATATCTTACAAAGAGTTACACAGTGGGTATAACCAACAAGCTGGCCAGAGACATGGGTGCTGCTAAGGATCTTTCAGATATGATCTAAAACATCTCCTAAATGGCATCCTAACTGAGGTCTATGCTTTTTTATACAATAACTTCTGAAATATAATTTATGAGGATGGCAGTAAACTTTCTGCACAGTGCAGATAGAACTAAAGTAAAGTCATCCTTGTTAGGCAATTTTAGGACCTACTCTCTATTGTCTGATCTAAGTTTAGGCTCTGTTTTTAGAGTTTCAGGTTGGCTAAAATGGAATAAGTTATTTCTTATAGTTTTTAATAATGTAAGTTATTTTGGGGTATCTCCGACGTGAGTAGAACAAGTTGGCCCATCTCTAAAAAATACGAAAGTATTGTATGATAACATTGAAAATCATTTTTTTCTTTTTTAATAACATTTATGTAATGTTGTTGCCAATAAATGAAAAGATCTTCACTGAAAGATTTATTTTGTGCTTGAAGGCAGCAATGATTTCATTGTTGTATTTCATTATAACATTTTTTAATGTTCGAGTGTAACCTTAAGATTGGATTATTCTGCAAATATACACTGTTGCAAAAGGTATAAATAAAATGGGGATTTCCTACAATCCTTAACAAAAAGACTTATATTAATTAATTTGGATTTACATAATCAGTGCCGCATTTGTCTCACATACATGTCAGCACTGAAGAATAAGCGTGCTTCATTTCAGCTATCTTAGTTCATGTTTTCACAAGAAAACATTGAACTACACCAGAAAGAAGATGCAGGTCCTAAATATCATTATAGATGAAAGAACAACATTGGACAGTGGGAGGAGAAATAGCAAATGAAGATTCCATTTCCCTTTTTAAAGATGTACGTCAGCCAAAGGAGCTTTTTGTGCAAAAAATAATATTCTCTATAAATTGTTTGAGTAGCAAAATGGCAGCTGAGATTCAGTGTAAATAAGCACAAAATTCTAACCTCATATGTTCATTCATAAGATATCAGCTGTAATACCTAAGTGCAAGATCTTAGGGGACATAACTGAAAGTTTGTTAAGAACAGTAGCTCACTGGGTTGTATCAAGTGGTGTCCTTTTACTGACAGCAGAAAGACACTTTTATGTTGTAAAGGAAAATTCAGTATTAGGTGTCATTAGAACAGATTTTAAGTAAAATAGCATATATCACAACACTATATGTTTGCTATACAAATAGATACTTTTGATATACCCTATAGAATATTGGCCATTCCATTTTAAAGAGGAGGTGATTGATAGTACACAAAAAGAAAGACGAAAGCAAAGAAAGGTTTGAAGCATTGTCACAAAAGTTTGTTATTTTGATGAAGAATTATAACTGTGAATGATATGTTGAAGAAATGAGTAAATTGGTTGGTTTTCCTTTATATAGCACAAATAGAAAACAAACTCAAATGGGCAAATATGTTTAGACAAAACATGAAATTGAAGCAATACATAATTAACGTTTTGAATCCAATACTGCAAAATTGGATGACTACCAAAAGAATTTAACAGCATGATTGGTTTATCTGTATAAAGTTTGATAGCCTTGATAGCTACATGGAAGCTTCAAGTTTAGAAATAGCAGAGTTCTAATTATAAGATGCTGGAGTCAAACTGCAGAAGGGTCTCACCATAATGACCTGTCTATGCATCATCCATGGTCATCTGACTGGCTGCTATTTAAAGTAGAATAGTGGAGAATACAGAATTCAGTGGTGGTAAAGACTTGTTGGCTTGCTATGTAAATTTAAATAAAGAAAAGGCTTTTTATGTTTTTATGTTTTGAATTGGCTACTCAAAACTTTTCTCTCTTAAACACACACCCTGCATCACCAATGTCAGCAAACAACACAGTGGGATTTGTTTTCATTATACTACTTGATCCTTTTGTTTCAAATTGTTAGAGTTCAATAAATAAAGAAGTAATCCTTTCCTCAAATGATTTTCCTAAAGTGAGACTGAAGAAGGAAAATTTGCAAGAGTTTTGACTGGCATATTCAGTTGTGAAGAAGACAAATACTAAGTGGGTTGAGGCAGATTGATTTCTTAGCAAGTTTCTGTGCTGAGAACAGTGGAAATAATTTCAACTATAGGGTTGACTGAATACCATTTATTCATGACTGACACATCATTAATTATTGTCATCTTTGACTAAGTTTGCAATATTTTAGTAGTAAAAAGAGTTTAAAGAGATAGTGTTGATCATTTTCTCATTTCAACATTCACTTCAAATGTAACATATTTGATATCGTTGAACAGAATCCTGAAAAATATTTTGCAGGAACATTCATATTATTTTAATGGTGCTCAGAGGTCTATGGTTCTCCTGACTGCTGCTTCTATGCACCATTGTCCTTTCATTTCCCTTACCTTTCCTATGTTTGGCCTCATTCCCTGCCTTTCATTACACATATTTCAGCTTAGGCAGAAAATGTTCCTATCCCATAATAAGTGTGCAGTCACATTTTGAATTATGCGAAGCTTCCATTTAGCTTTCGAAGTCATTTGTATATAGAATATGTTGCAATAAGCCAGCTTGGATATTATTGAAGCCTGATATAACAAAGTACGCATTCTCTGGGAGCAGTGCTACCTCGGATACCCTCTTGGAACCAAGATGTAGAGACAGGAGTAGCAAACCCAGACTCTGAAAGTGATCATTTAGAACAAATGCAACCTTGCCCAGTATAGTGTAGCCATCAGTTTGAAGGTCAGTCTGATCATTCACAAACATAATATTCCTTGTATTTGGACTGAACATAGGTTTGTTCATCATCTGTGACAGGGGTAAGCAACCATGGGTACCCCACCTTAGCTTTAGATCCTTCTACTAAAATCAATTAAATGAGATATACTTCTAATGCAAAGCAGTGTCAGCCTCTGACAAAGTTTAGAAAGCCTTTGATCCCTACACAGATCTCATAGACATTCTTAGAAAATGGAAATGTTGGTGGGCTACCTCCTCATGGTATGTCTGGAACTAAGCCCATCTCTCAGGAAAAAAATAAATAAATGTAAGCTGAAGCGACAGACACTACCCTGGCAACTGGGGAGAGCAAGGATCAAACTTACTGACTTGCTTTGTGTCCACTCCAACCATGACACTTGTTCATGAAAAGACAAGGATCCTAGCAACAATTGTAAACCTCCCAGAGTCACTGGGAGTTGGGCTGCATATAAATTTAATTAATTATCATCACCATCATCATCATCAAATTCTTTTCTTGTCAGAGTACATGTAATTTGTTATCAAAATTTGAAGCCCACAAGCCCCCCCAATTGCTTTCCCTAATTTAGTCCATCGCTAAACATTAATATAACATGATTAAACATTAATTCACAGCTATCATTACTTCACCTGTTTCTCCTGAAAAAAAAAATGAAAGAAACACCTAGTGCAGGAATAATGCTTGCTGAAGAAATGCACAGAAAAAAAATATTTGTATATAGTTTTGTGGCATAAGAGCAGCCACTGAATCATCTCCAATCCAGTTGTATAAAGAGAACAATGTGCTATTACCGATTTTAGGGTTTTTGTTTTGTTTTGATATAGTCTTTGTTGAGAATAGCTCGAACTGCATTTTCTCTGCTTTGGAATCCGTCTGAATCTGTAGTTAGCAATGTATTCTATTTCTGATTCGAATTTAAATGGTTACAGTTGTACAAAAAATGTGGCCTAGTTCCCATATTTCTATATCTCTGTTTGAAAAAAAAAAAATCTCACTGGAATAAATGATTGATTGACTGACTGATTGATTTATGGCAGCGGGTGGCCCCAGACTTCAGAGTGGCTGAGGACAGAGGATTTTCACCTACCCATCATTCTGAGTCATGGCACGCTCAGCATTCCCTCTCCCAGAACCAAGAAACCAGAATCTATTCCCAGACCCAGGTATTCTGGCTGTCAGCTGATGAGTCTTGATTTGTGATTTTTTTCTTGAATTACTTACATATCTACTTATTTATTCTAAAATTTATATGCCACCAACATGCCTTGCTTAAATGTGTCACATTAAATGCTGGCACATTTAAAACGATAAATGACATTGAATGCATTCCTAGATTAGCACTGCAATAGCACTAAAGAGTTTCGTAAACGTTGGTATAAATCAAAATACAATTGCAGAAAGCAATGCATAGAATATATTTTAACATCACTTGCAGCGTCAACTAAATCTTTAAGTCACTTGTATGAGGAGTGAATTACTTTCCTTAGTGACTGTGGAAATGAAGTTAACATGGTAAAGTAAAACAGTGCAAAAGAGTGGTGTGCTTAGTTGAGTTCAGTCCTTTTTTTTTCTATGTAATCCTTCTCCAATATATGATATAATTGATATATTTCTTTAATCAGGCATTTCCTCAGTTCTAGACTTTTTTTTAGCAGGGAAAAAATCAAATCATAGCAATATTCTTTATTTTTTTATTTGATAAATGGTGTGAATGCAAAATTTATTTGACTTGTCTCTTCTGAAGCACGCAGGGTCATATGAAAAGTAAAACAGAATTATAATCCTGCTAAGAAATATTGCTGTTGCACTGTAGCACATAAGATCCTGGTTTAAATCTTATATTAGTTACTGCCTTTCTGTCTCACCTGCTGGCTATACACTATTCTGGCATCCTTTACACAGACTTGTGTTATGAAGATAATATAAATACGGTGTTTTAACTGTCTGAAATGCACTACAGAAGTACTATTAATTTTATTTACTAAATTTAGTTTGTTTAATCCAAGCATCCAAAAAAGTTCCCTCAATATACATGTTTAATGTTTGCTGCCTTTGATAAAACTCCTAGATGTCACACTGCCCACAGTAGGTAGGTAGGTAGGTGATAGATAGATAGATAGATAGATAGATAGATAGATAGATAGACAGACACACACACACACACACATTTGATAGCTCCTGATACAGTGTAGTACAGTTACTAGCATAGACCCATTCCAGGTTTGTGAAGGCTATGTAACCTGCTACCTGCTCACAGGTAACCTTTTCAAAGGGGTTGTCTCCAATCACTTGTATTGGTGCCTTTAAGTAAGAATTTGGATAATAAACCTCCTCCTGGCAGTTGCCTACCAACAACATTTGCAGACTATTCAGGATCCTTCCTTAAACAGATGTCAGTTGCTTCCTTCTCTAGCACCAGCAAAATGTTCTTCATATTTGGTGTCATAGGTATGAGATGTAAATATTAAACCCTATCCCTTGGAAGGTAAAAAAGGAAAAAGAAATACCCTATGGTAGGATTAATTGCAGACAGAGGAGGAAGGGAATGGATATGCCGTGTGCATAGATATTCTTAATGAATAATAACCTAACCTTCTAAAGCAAGAAGATCAGCTTACATCATTTAAGAGCTTGAAGAACATGGAGATTATTGTATCAAGGTAATACAATTTATACATACTCTGATCTAGCAAAAGTGCAATATGTGCCTAGGCAGTTTTTTCATCCAGCATCTAGAACAGCTTGTACGGATTCCAGCACATCTGTTACGTGAGTTTTCCTGGGTTTTGAAATCAAGACCTCACTGGTGGACACGGCCACCAACAACAGTAGCCTTAATCAGCTGTAGAGTTTTGATAGTGATAGCCCTCAACTTTGGAGTTTAATGTGCTCTGAGCTGTTTGTTTCCTTCCTTGTATTGACTGGCACCAGTACAAGTTGTATCTTTTAAATGGTATGTAGATGGAGTTTATTATTCCTATATGCCTGTTAATGGCTGGTTTGTCAGAATGCCAAGCTTCTAGGTATTCCCTAACATGGATGAATTTGGCTTGGTTTAAAATGTTATCTGTTTCCCAGTTGAATTTGTGGTTGAATTTCTTGAAAATTAAAGGTAGTGCTGCTGGTGGTTGTTTTGGTTGTTGTTGGGTTTTTTGTTTTGATGGCCCCAGGGCTCTTACAACTATGGCTGAAAATCAAAAACCATCATTTCCTGACATTTTAAAGGAGAATAATAACATAAAATATAAAATAGGGTTAATATAACTTTAAAAATTGTATTAGGATGTTCAAATGTTACATTAAAATATATTTAGTAACCCCACGCTAAACAGCGGAAAAAACTGAAAATATCAGCCCTGCTCCTGTTAATGACATGCCATTGTCTGTATATGTGATATGACCCCATGTGTTTTGTAATAGTGATAATTTCTCTTTCTGAACTGATGCAAAAATGCTGGTAATATGAAGTAGATTATCAGGTTCAAAAAGACAGCAGTTATCATGCCCCTGATGAAGAGGACTGTGATGAAGAACCCAGAGAAAGTTGAAGTCCAAGCAGTCACAGAGAGGGAGCATCAGGCCCCCTGGCCCAATTGACTTGGCTTTGTGATGAAGGCCATCCATGGGGATATCACTGAAAGCTAGAAAACCAGGAGGCAGAGGAATGCATAGCTACACAAAGAGCCTGACACAAAGAAAAGTCTGTTAGAGAGTAGCCTTGAGCTGCAAATCAGACCAGTTCAGTATCATGTGCACCCACACAGAGGCTGGGCTTATCTTGTATTTAAGGATTCATTCAAGTGCCATTCATGAAACCTTCTCAGAAATCATGACATTATGTACTTGCTACTTGGACTGTTGCTACTGGTGAAATCAGATTGAGGAGGACTCAGCCAAGGGCATAACAATAGCCCAGAGGAAGGGAGAAGTGGTACAGCAAGACCAAGACTGCTTCACATAAAACGAAGCATGAAGATCACCTGAGCTTCAGTATTTGGATTGTTTTGGAGTGGCCTTGCATAACAGCAACTTTCCAACTATTAACTCCTTTATGTTGAGAGTTGCCTCCTTGGTATTCAGAAAGGGCGGGAAATACATCTTATTTGTTCATTTGCAACAGACTGCTAGAGTACAGTCAGAATGGTGTACATGCAGTCTCAGGAGTAAAATGCGTCTCAGGCATCTAGCTAATTAACTTATTAAAGCAAATAAATTGGCTTTTTGAGAAAAGGAATACTTGAAAATGTACTTTTCCTTTGTAACTGATGTTTGATATTCAGTGTTTTATGTAGTTTTGTTAATAATGTATTTTGTTAGATTTTATTATACAGGGTGCAGATTTTTAAGTAAAAGCACTGGTTTCGGAGTTTGCTTGCAGTCTAGTCTGTCTTTCTGTCTCTCTATCTATCTAGTTGTGGAGAGGAAGCTTGGAACCAGCATTCCCATGTCTCCAAACAAATGATTTGTAATGTCAAAACTGTTAGCATCAGCCATCTGTTCCTAAATCATAACATGATACAAAAATGTTCTGCTGTATCTTGCCAAACCCTTGTAATTTTTTACCCACCACTAAAAGGTCCCCCCACCCCATAGACATATCCTGGGTTCATTCTCTTAAGGAATTGCTCTTTTGAGGAAACATACCCACAAGTTTTGTCCAGTGTTCTTCAACACATTTGCATGATAAAGTACAATAAATAAAATTTTTATCATCTAGTACATGCCAGATTATATTTTGGTTTAATCAGTTTTCTAAACCATATTACATAATAGGGATTTTATTCAAGTTTCATGGGTATCAGACAGCTTTTCAAGTATTAAATGTATGCTGAAACAATAGTAAAGAAGCTATATTAAAGGAAAGTCAAATTTTTATTTTTAAAATTCTTGTTATTCTAGTCAGTCCTGCTAAGTTCTCAGTTTTCAATATGAGTTGCAAATCTGATTTGATTTATTCATTCTGAGCCATATTCAGCCTTCACCAAAGTTCTGCTTTCATTGATTTGAAAGTAATGAGAAAAGCTCTCAGTGCTTTTGTGTTAAATTATCAGATATACAATCTACCTCACAGTATTCATAGTTTTAACTGTGGAACAATTCCATAAGTGTGCTATGATCATTTATCCACAGCAGTGAAAATATATTTTGGTCAAAAGAGTATTCATTGTCCATTGATATATCTTTTAAATTCTAGACATACAAAACTTATACTTGTATTGTCAACTCACTATACAATTATATATATCAGAAACTGATTTTTTTTATACATATGCATCAGGATGCAGAAAATTAAGTCTTATAATTATTGTGGAATCCTCGGAACCAAGTTCTCTGAGCTTGGTTGTTTTCTTGCAAACGTTTCGTTACCCGGCTAGGTAACATCTTCATTTTAGTTCTCTGAGCTTGGTTGTTTTCTTGCAAACGTTTCGTTACCCGGCTAGGTAACATCTTCATTTTAGTTCTCTGAGCTTGGTTGTTTTCTTGCAAACGTTTCGTTACCCGGCTAGGTAACATCTTCATTTTGTTTATAAAGCAATAGAAATAATTGGTTAAAGCAGATATATCCAGAATTGCAAGTATAAGTATCTGTACAAATATTGACTCTCTGAGAATGTACATCCAGATAGGATGTCTTAAGCACTACCAAAAATTATTGCCTGATAGCACATAGCGTAACAATTGCATTGTGTGCATGCATACAGAGAGAAAGAAAGAGAGAAATACATTCACACACTTCTTTGCCTCAAATTGCACTGAGGCGATATTTTATTTATTTATTTATTTATTTATTTATTTATTTATATTTTAAATTTGGTCACCGCCCATCTCACTAGGAAGCGACTCTGAGCAGTTTACAGTAAAAACAAGAATAAATATTAATTAAAATACAATAAAAACCATTCATTCATAAACAATATCTTCCAAGGTACTCCTGATAGATAAGGATATTAACCTACAGGAGCATCTTCAAGATGCTAGCCACCCCCAGGGCTGGTTGTCCCTCTTTTCGACCCATGTAAGCTGGCAGTGCCAGGTCTTCACCCCCTTCCAGAAGGTTGAGAGGGTAGGGGCCTGCCTCACCTCTGCAGGGAGGGTATTCCATAGGGCAGGGCAACAACAGAGATTCTCCTTCTGGGCCCTGCCAGTCGACATTCTTTCGTTG